TTCCCAACTCTGGGATAGCCAAATGAAGCTGGGGAAGGAAGTCTACTGTTGCTGACATCCATTGAACTAAGACGACTGTATCATATCCAGTTTGTCTCTTCAATATACTTAATTTGTTCACATGTCTCTGCTTTCTTCTTCAAGTTGAAATGACTTAGATTACGTGCAAAGTGTTTCATGTATTTTTCATTCGCGTCTACTATTTGATCATGTATAAGAATTTTATAAACCCTATTTCTTTTAAGATAACGAATGATCGGTGGTGGAATTTTCCCACATAACTGTCCCAGGTTTTGTGTATAAGTAGGTTTTCGAGACTGCTAATAGATCATTTATGTATGAAGTGTATTCACTATTTCGTTTAAAGTGGGAAGGGTACTTTTGTAGTTGAATTTTCCCCTCAATGCTGAGTAGACCATACATTCCCATTGAAGTTCACATAGCCTTGCTTTGCTAAAAGATATTCTCATCCAAGGTGGGCTTTAGTTTCGACATCGACTAGGTCTTAGCAGTATCAAGGGAGGGTTCAAACCATGACAGTGTAGCGTAAAATCTCTACGCGTTAACCACTATGCCACATTGCCACGATTGCCCTTGGGTCACAGGGCAGATGTGAATTTCAGGGAAGACCAGGTATTTTTTCATATCAAATTCTATAGTGGAAATGTCGATGAAGCAAATTTGTATTTGCTATAGCGGTCGATTACGTTACTTAAGATTCGTTCATATGTAAATGATCTACTGAGAGAGGCAGGTTGAACTCGTTTTCTCAACATGCTTTTGTTGTCAGGGCGACTTAGTTGGAAGCACCTTATCGGAAATCTGCTATAGTAGTGAACAGGTGAAATGATATCACAGTAAACTTGCCAAAAAGGACACACCTTTTGACAAGCGGAATGTAAATAAGTCAGAAGTTGCGATAGGGCGGGATTGGAATAAGAGGTAAGGAGTAGGTGGATGGGTCAGGACATAAAGAGGAAAGATGGTGTGTCCGTTTCGGCCGAATGTTGGTCGGGGGATTGACATCAATTGTCATTTTGATGAGCTGTAGCTGAGAATAGCAAGACTCACTGATGATGCCTACGATCCCAGTAAAACGCCTGACTGTGCCAGAAGATTTCGGACAAGGCATGTCCGACTAGGTCGACCTGACAACCAACTTGCGAGAACGAGGTCAACCTAGTTCCTTACATTAAAAAGAGTCTGTGACCAAACCGAGGGCCACACTATCTTGGTCTTAATATCTTCGATCAACTGGTAATTTCGAAAGTATATTTATAAACGAAACAAATGATGTGGTCGATTGCTATAGAAAATACAACTTTGCTTCATCGACAATCCGGCCACAGAATTTGATATGGGAAAATGTCCAGCCTTCCCTAAAATTCACATCTGCCCTGTGACTCAAGGGCACCCGATGCAATTTAGCTTAGCAGTTAACATTTCGAGATTATACGCTGCACTTTCATGGTTTGCGACCCGCTTCAGGTGTTGATAAGACCTAGGCGATGTCGAAACTGCAGTTCATCCTGGATAAAATCCCTTTGAGAAAGTAAGGCTATGTGAACTTCAATGATAATGTGAGGTCTACTCATATAACTCTGGGTAAAATTCAACTACAACTGTCCCCTTATCACCTTAAGCGAAATAGAGTGAATACGCTTCATGTCTCATTTTTATATTGAATTTCACATGGCGTTGCTTCCTGAAATGGAGTTGCTTCATAAAACGTGTAAATGAATTCAACAAATAATAAAATATATACGGAAAATGCATGCGTACTTACGGTGCTACAACCAAAATGCTACAATAACATTCCAGAAAATTCATTATCGATATATGAGCAGAACTAAGTAGGTTACAATGAATTTTAGGTTTAATGGTTCAAGCCTGAGTTGCGTCAATAAATTAAAGCCGAAGCTTGACTAAACAGCGTATCTAATTAAGCAAGCAAGGGACTATTAATTTCCCGAATAACGCAAATTATTTGAAATGGCAAAATTAAAATACTATAATGGTTGATAGATTTTCATTATAGGAAATAATCGTTAGCTTGCAAATAGCAAGTCGAATCGCTAATCATGTTGCCCATTTGCAAACTTTTATATAGTGAAGGTATGCAAAGTCTGCTAGTCGAATCTTGTCTAATAGGCAGGCAGATAGGATGGCGACGGGGCAAAGAGCCTGCAACAAACCCTATGGAATTGGCCCCATATCTTAATTCCCGTAGGGTTAGTTCGTCACTTATTCAGGATCCATCAAAGAAAGCTTTCGATCAGAGAAAAATACGTTTGAAGGGATGTGTGAATAGCCTCAACGGGAGCCGAAGGATAATTTACAGCTATATAACGGTCTTACTTCCAATGAGTTCAAGTTCGCATTCATGGTTTGAGAAGCAGCCATCGCTCAATTTCTACCACATTTTGAGAGCAAACAAAGTGAGGTAATCCTCAACGGAAACGGCGACCAGAATTGCTTTAGCGGATACCTAATAGTTTTCCTATAATGATACGAGGTATCATTGCGAAACGAGGGATTAAAATGTTAGCCAGTTGGATAAGGCAGTGAATTTCGATTGCGGTAAGGAAAAGCCGACAATTTGGATAAAACATATGGCTAAGTGGAAGTGCAAATTGTGATCGAGAGGCCAAGCGATATCCACAAGTGGTGACAATGGTGATTACATTTCAGCAAATCCACTGACAGCATCAAACGAAGACAGATAGATATTAATGAGTAAACTAGCCATAATAATTAGTGATGTTTCGACCTAGCTTTCGCAACTTGATCGGAGCGTCAGTGAGACATTGTGGCATGTACCTAGTTCCGTGTCCTCTGCCATAGTGTTAGTGATTTTCAGTAGTGGACCATTGGCTGGGTACATTCCCAAACGTTTTGCCGGCATCGTCAGTGAGAGGCGCCATCGTAGGCACAGAGTTATAACTTATCAATTACAAATGAAGGCAATCTCCTTGAACAATTTTATCTTCAAACGTAACAAATTAATCCTTCCCTCTATTCATTGAAACTTCAGTGTTGATCTAAGGATAATTCTAGAGCATGTATCGATCAGATTATCGGAATGTTAGTGTTCATCGACTGTAATAGGCAAAAATGTGGGTCATGAATTAATCAGGATAATGAAGAATTGAATAATGAGCTGCATATATTTTACGCTTAATAATAAATTATATGAACAAACATGATGTTTGGTTATGGCAGACTGCGGCCGATAACTTTGAAGGATACCCTCAAATAAAAAGACAACTGCTAAAAAATCATACCACGAATCATTAATTCTAAAAAGCCGAGCTATAAGTATATGAGAGTGTAGCATGCCATCTTCTGAGTCTATGAATTAATTATTTACGTAGAGCGTATATTGGCGGACAGGACAAATCGCCAAAGTACATACATATAAATGTGCTTACAATGCACTTGATTACGTTTATATCTAATAGGTTTCAATCGACAAGGATACTCATTCAGAGGCAAAGAATAACTAGCAACAATCGCACCCTACAGTTAAGGGTGACTAATTGCTTCGGGCAAATAGTACAGGTTTTTTCTTCAGGATAAAAACATTACGTCAAATACATGCCGATTAAGAGTGTAGGTCGAAGGAGCGTGTGCAATAAGATTAATCTAATTTCTCAGTCAGCCATAAATTGTTGTGTGAGCTTACTTAGTAACTAAAAATAAGAAATATTAGCCGTATATTGGCGTACACGTATAACCAGCAACCATATGCAGCGATACTACATGTTCGATATATTTCAGAATTAAGAAGTTAAATAGCAAAGGAAATTGTAATAAAAGAATACAAAAAGCGATACATTCGATAAATAACGGGGAAGAAGTCCTAATTAGGATGAAAAATGAAATACTCATAGCTTACAAACTCTTCCTGTACAAGCAAAACAATTTTTTTGGTTCCGGTGGTGAAAGGAGTAGGAGCTCACTTTAGGGCGGTGAAGACACTGATAGGCCTCTGTCGTTTTATAAGTGGATTCTCAGGGTGGGAAGGAGCATGTCGTTTCGCTGCTCCACAAGAACGACGAGAGAAACCCTATGGTGTAAAGGCGAAATAGTAAAACAAGGTCAATGTATGATAGCACATGCCTTTTTCAAATGTAAATGGACCAGAATGACTTCAAGATACTACTGAAGTAGAATTCTTAAGTAAGCAGATGGATCGACTAAAAAAATGTCCTAGTAATTTGTTTAAGACCGTTCACGATTATACAATCTAACAGTCGTATATATGGCTGGAAGGGGAGTATAGAAACTCTGTCGGGTCGCATATACGTAATGCTGAATAATAATGAAGAAAACGGAAAAAAGGGAAGTGATTAAGGGACTTTTAAAGCAAACAAAAACGCTGTTTTAAATAAGAATAACGTATTCTTCCATGATGTCAAGGATCGCAGAATTTGTAATATATATCCATTATACAACTATTGCAAAACCCTTTTTGCTACCAATCTAATTTATTCAAGTGGGCTTCAGTAAGGGGCTTTTCATAGGTTCGTTCACCTGCAATCATTATAAAATATGTGAAATAAATAAATCCAAAGATAAGGAGGAAGTAGTCGTAGCAGCACAGGTGCAGGGGAACTCTGGAAATTAACAGAGCTAAAATATATTTGAAATCTAGAATGACTATGATATCAGAAAGGCCTAAAGATACCCTAGTATAAATGGAAAACTGCAGACACAAAAATACGTTAGCTAGTATATTAACAGCCGAATAAAAACCATGTGGCCACGAAAAAGCATAAAAAGTAAATGCATTGCAGGCGAAATTGTCATAGTCCTGTTGGTATCACTCACCCCTTGTTTGGTTGGCTCCAATGTATTGGAACATGGCTTAGAGATAGCCTCATTCTCCTTGCCAATTTTACACATAGACTCTCTAGAGCCCAGTATATCCTTATCTTTTGACCCATATTTCTGACAAGGCGGAGTTCTATCAGCTCGACTAAAGCAAGATAGGCCAACTCGCTTCTGTAGACCAAGGTGATCCGCAGCTAGATTACGTCTACTGGGAACAGACCCGGATCCGAGAATCGCCGAAGGACTCCTTATGAGGCAAGCGGAACTAAGGGACCCCCGAGATGGACGGCCGGGTGACGAGAATAGAAATGCTTCACTAATACGGACTCCTGCACCGCAGGTACGCCTCTGTGCAGTCAGTTGTGAAGACGCAGATGGCGGA